CTCCTTCTGTGTATTGATACAGGCAACTTGAGTAAAGTTTGATCAACACTGGGCATAATATTGAAGTGGACAATCAGTAAAACCCCGGGTTATGATATCCTTTAATGCTGAAGTGCTGAAATCCTTTATGTACTCAGGGTTATTAAACCGTCAAACCTGGAAGCAAGCACTACACCTAGAATAACCCATTTTGCTTGCTTCTGTTGCTTGCTGGCTTTTTGAGCTAGTTATTTAACCTCTAGAATCTTCTGTGTTCTTATCTGAATAGTAGAGCTAATCATATTTGTGTCAAAATATACATTGTTACGAATATTAAATAATATAATGAGTTTAAAACACCCAATAATCTCTCAGTAACTTTTTATTATCGTTTTGCTAAATGGTGTGATCCAAATCAGATTAGATACTATAACATTTAATTTCCTGATGTTTTAAATGTGAGACAGAACGTTACGTATGGATTTGTTAGTGGGAGAGAGAGAGAGACTAACTGAACTTCAGTGTGCGCAGGCAAGTCTGAGTCTAAACACCCTGTGAATGTTCAGTGACAGGAAAAAGAACAGAATGGTAAACACAATAAAAGCTTTGCTGTACTTTGTGTGCTTCTATCCTGTGATTTTTCCATATATTTTTACTTTTTCTAACTGCCAAGTTTAAGGGGAGAAGAACGTTTATTAATTTTTCTTTCCTTTTCTTTGTCTCTCATCCCCCAACCATTTATTTCATCAATGTTAGCCCGTAGCCACATGTAACCTTATACCAAATATGATACCACAGGTCATTGATTGTATTTATCTATCTGCTCTACACACTTAGAATCTTGACAATTGCCCATGTACGACTGTGAATGCCTGTGTTTAGAGCTCTTTCTCCTACCTCATCTGAGATTTTGCTGAAACCTAAGCTAATACTATTGCAGGCTACATTAGTTTCTATCCTATTCTTCAGAAATCTGGAAGAAAACAGAGCAGTCAGAGTTTCCTGAGCTGCTCAGACTATAGACTTTTAGGTCCCCAGGGAAATAATGTCAGTTTTTTTTTTCCTGAATAGGCAAATGTGGAAAGTAAATACCCAAGAGCACCAAGCACATTATTGTGGACCGTGGCTTAGCAACATTTGGCCAGGATCAGTTTAGAAATGCCTATGGGCATACAATCACTTAGAGCTTTCAAAGACCTACTAATTCTTGTCTTGTCCTTTAAATTTAGATTCTGTTCTTCCAAACCAAATTTTCTTCGGGCAAAGGCATAAAATAGATGTTCCTAGGACCTAAATACTTGTCTTAGATTTTGCAGGAATTTGAAAATTCTTTTTGTTTATTTTTTGTTTGAGCTTATATTAGGGTGTTAATTGGTGTTCAAAATTCCCTGCCTGCTTTCCTGAGGAATACAGATCCACTGCTCCTTGCATCGCCGATCGTTTTAGTGAATATTTGAAGTCTATTTCCCTTGTAAAACTGTAGAAGGTTTAAAGCATGCTGAGATTTTAAAATATTTGCAGAGAATTAATCTGGATGTGTTTGAATTACTGGTTTGTAATTCTCTGCCTTTTATTCCAGATTTTGGTACTGGAGGTGAATTGGTAGACTGAGTATCTGAGGGCAGAATGCTTCCTGATGCAGCCTAAAATTAACCTGACAGCCACTCAGATCTGACGGTTAGTGAATTACCTGTGTCACCTTGGTTTGGGAAGGTCCCACCAACCATGTGCTTGGTTAATTTTATGTCCTTTTATATTTATTTTATATAATTTCATTCTAAAGGCTGTTGTTTCTCTTGCAGCACATGATAATTTGATTACTCTAAAAATGTTTTAGCAGACGTTAGTTTTAATTGTGTATTATTAATAAGTGAAATTCCCATTAAGAACAATAGAGTTAAATAAAGCATTTTCAAGTTGGCAGTGAATTTAATTGTGTCCTATTCCTGTTCTTATATACAATCTTCTATACTACTATTAAGAAATTGACTAGTTTATTCTTGAATATCTAGAATGATGAAAAATTTCCTAACTTCAAAACACTCGCCATCCTAAAGTATACTCGTTTTATCTGAGTCAACCAAGGTAAGTTTACAATATGCTACATTCTGTTACACTAAGAGAAAATTTGAATGTGTAGTCAAAATTTTATTTAAATATGAGTGACTATTCTTACACAGACAGCACAACACTAAAAGCACACATGATTTTTATTCAGTACTACCAGGGAAATAAAGCAATCATTTGCGTATGTTTTTGTAGGGAAAAGAAAAAAAAAAGACTAATGATTAGTGTTAAGAAATGCTCTAAGATAACCAATCTATTATCAAACTAACGAACAGATTTTCGCTGATAGATTGTTGAACTTTAAGTTTGTCTGATGACATTTATTAAATTTATGTTACAAATGATTTTTTTCTTTATTTTTCCATTGGATTTGGTTGTATATGTGTGTAAGACAATTTATGTAGTTGCTAAACAATTCACTTAAACAGGAAAAACCGTGAAAGGAAAATGGCCATGGGTTATGAACCACATATGTCACTAGTGTATTTCATATTACCTTATGCATTCCTCATTAAATTTCTGAATTATGTAATGATATCTTAATTGCATACAAAAGAAAAATGAGGCTTAAAGAGATTAAACAATTAGCTCAAGGATCACATTGGTCAGTTTATTTAACATTCCTCAATGTTTCTACCTCTTTCTGTGTTGCCAACTGTTCTAAAGACTTGTTCAGTGGTTGCCTGATATTCTTGATTTCATCAGTTGTGACTCCAACTTTTACATAGGAGGTTTCCTTAATATCACTATGTTGCTTTATGGCAATAATTTTCCTCAATTGACTTGCCTTTTACCTCTGCTAAACAGCACTGAGCATATAACATGTTCCCTCAGATTACAGGTTGAGGTTATCAGCTATTGCAGATTAAATGCCAGTGATGATCTAGAAAACAATCAAGGATCTTGACTTGAGGAATTTACTAAAGGAAAATTATTTCAAATGTTTTAGAATCAGAGAATTCTAGAATACATGTTTATATTAAACACTCCACTCCACTTTACATACATAAGTACTCAGAAGCACAGACTGGGTGTGGTAACCCATCATCTTGCATGTTCTTTTCTACTCAGATGAGGATTCAAAATAGTCTTTTCATTGCTGTCCTTCATGATACCCTTCTGCCCTCCTTCTCAGCTCTCACACATTAAATGTAGCCCCAGATTGAGGGAGAAACAAGATATCTGTGTTCTAACATTCACAGTGTATTATTTTCCAATCCTGAGAAATTACTTAGATTCTCTTGATCTGAGTCTCTTCTATTTAGAATCAGAGATTTGATTTAGTCAAGTGATTTCCACTTTTATAATGTTCCCAGTCTACTTATATAATAATTCTCTGTAAAGCTATTTGTTTTATGTAAGTAAATGTATCTGAAAAAATTATAATATTTCTACCTCATAAACAAAGAGTGAGTATCAGTTGCAACAAGTAGAAGATGGGTCATTGACCCCCACACTCCTGAAACATTTCAATACTCTTTGGTTACCCTTAACTGCTGGACACTGTGACTGATCATTATTTTGTTTCGTTATATGAAGGAGGATAAGAAGTCTTGTAGTGATACTGAAACACAATAGGAACAAATTGAAAATTTCTACTTTATGAACTTAGAATTTTGACTAGTAATTTATAATAAAATTGATGCCCTATAGAATGGACTATTTTTTCAATGCCATACCTGTCAACTATTTTCCACCGGAAATCCTCTAAAAGACTATAAATAACATAGATATTGAATTTGTGAGTCACTCTAGTTGAGAGTTTCTAAATAATCTTGCAAAAAAATCATTTTGTGATTTTTAAATAGACGTCTGGGGTCCCAGATATGACTGTCACATCAGATCCAGACTAAGGGAGAAGGTGTGCTAGCTTTTGCAAACCCACTAGCATCAGATTATTCCTCATCAGATAATAGCTCATGGATGTGCCTTCTCTCTGTGCTGCACTCATTTTGTACTGATTAAATAATGTCTTAAGATTTACATTAGATACAAAAGATCCAGATTCCTGAACTTTTCATTTCTTCTTTATTGCAACAAACACCACTGAGTGCTAACTAACCACAAAGTTTGTCTTCAAGTTACCTTCTGTATCATCTTTTATTGACATTCATTCTTTATATTGTATATAAAACATGAAATTTCTAGCAAACACCAAGACATATGCACGATTCAAATAAACTTGGGCAATTTAATGATCTTATCTTTCCTTTTCCAATTGCCATCATAAACTTCAATGACAGTATATGGTTTTTCAATAGTTGTTAGTATATAAAAGTAAATATGAGAAATGAATTTACTGATTATTTTTCACAACTTCAGTCATGTATTGTTTTCAAGTATTCTTTGTTTCTTAATACAACAGCAATTTTAATGATTTAACATGACCCGTTGATAATGTTTGATCACATAGCAAAAAGGAGTATGCTCTACACAAATTAAAGTTCACCAGTTCAAACTGGAATGTTTAAACACACTTGCATTTCTTCAGGATTTGTTCCCTGATAATTCAAGGAATTTGATCAGATAACCTTAAAAGAAGAAAAGTTGACTTTACGTATAAGGCACAAGAATTGAAAAATAGACAAAACATTTTTTCTTCTTTTAGGTCAATTAGACTAACTAATATAATTAACAGTTCTTTGTTATCTAAATAATATAATTATCAGGAATATTTTTTATTATAAATATTTTAAATCATTACCAGTATTACTGAGTAAAATATATAATTATTCTCATTATTATAATTATAAGATTATTCCACAATAAAGAAAAGAAAAAGCAGCTTAATTTAATAAATTAAGAATAATTAATATTAAGGTTCTATTCATGTTAATCTATTTTTCAGTAAATTTTATATTATTGTGTTCATACTACTAATTTTTCACCTAAAGTTGTTTTATTTCTTTCAGAAACATAAGTCATTTGTGTGTAACATGCACCAAATCAAATATATGGAAAGCCAGAGAAACTTCTCAGAGTTCATTCTTCTAGGACTTTCTCACGACCAGAATCTACAAATATTTTGCTTTGTGCTCTTCTTATTCTGTTATGTTGCCCTGTTGGTAGGAAACCTTCTGATCCTTATCTCCATTCGATGCAGTCCTCTTTATAACCAACCAATGTATTATTTCCTCATCCACTTATCCTTGATAGACATCTGCTATACCTCTACTGTTACACCCAAATTAATTGCTGACCTGCTAGTGGAAAGAAAAACCATTTCCTATGGTAATTGCATGTTACAGGTCTTTAGCATGCACTTCTTTGGAAGTACTGAGATCTTCATTCTTACTGCCATGGCTTTTGATCGCTATGTTGCCATCTGCAAACCTCTCCACTACATGATTATCATGAACAGGACAAGATGCAATTTCTTAGTCTTGGCTGCTTGGGTTGGTGGGGCTGTTCACTCCTTTCATCTATTTTCTACGGCAATCAGTTTGCCCTTCTGTGTTCCTAACAAAATTGATCACTATTTTTGTGATATTTTTCCTTTGCTAAAAGTTGCCTGTACTGATACCTACGTCACTGGTGTCATCATGATAGTCTTTTCAGGTATGGTCGCCTTGGTTACCTTTGTTGTCTTATTTGTTTCTTATGGCATAATATTATTCACATTAAGAAATCACTCAACTGAGGGAAGACGCAAAGCCCTCTCTACCTGCTGGTCTCATATCTCTGTGGTTGTCTTATTTTTTGGGCCTGTAGTCTTTATCTACCTTAGACCTCCCACCACTTTCCCTGAGGATAAAGTATTTTCACTACTTTACACCATCATTGCTCCTATGTTCAATCCCTTAATCTATACGCTGAGAAATACAGAGATGAAACATGTCATGAGAAAAGTTTGGTGTCAAACATTATTTTCAAAGGAAGCACACGATTAATTTGAAAAAGCTTGCTGGATAAGCGACTTTGTGAAAGAAAAGAGGTAGATGTGAATAAAAAAAAACAGGAACTATCTCATAGATTTTATATATCATCATTATCTTAATTTTGTGGAGTATTAGGATGGTATATATAGGGTTACCTGCATGAAAAAACAACTTGATCAAAACAAATAAGCCAAGGTTATAATAATCAGTGAATTATAAAGAAAATATTTTTAATGATAATTTTATTAAAAAGTTTGGACTTAGGGGCCAGAACGCATAGTGACACACATTCTGTGGTAGTGAAGAATTTGAAATCTGAAATTAAAATAAATTTAAATTTCTGAGAGAACATTCACATATACATCCTCTAGTGGCATTCAGAAATGAGTTGCACAACAAAGAAATATTTAGAGTAGAATGTTTTAAAGTCATCCTGGGGGTCAACTCTCCTGACATGCCATAAAAATAGATAATAATACCTAATGAAGACAGAGTGGGAATCTATAATTCAGAATGCTGAAAACAAACTTAATGGTATTCCACCTATTGGCCAGAATTTAGTAACATTTCCCATTAAACTCAGGGAAGTATATAATAAAATTTAAGTGTTGACACAGCCTTACCTGCCTAAAATTGTTAAGTAAATTGGTAGTCATTGTATCCAGAACCAAATAATTTTCCTGCTACAATAAGAAAAAAAAATTAGCAAAAACTAAATAAGATGTGATCTAAAAACAAAGTAAAAAACCAAAAAGCAAAATGCATTTTTGTCTGCACATGGCTGTTTATAGCAGCTTTATTTTTAGTTGTCAAGCCTTGGAAGCAACCAAGCAATCCTTCAGTAGGTGAATAGATAAATGAACCATGGTACATCCACACAATGGAATATTATTCAACACAGAAAAGAAATGAGCTATCAAGCCATGAAAAGATATGCAGGAAACTTAAATGCATATTACAAAGTGAAAGAAGCCAATCTGAAAGGTCTACCTACTGTATCATTTCTGCAATATGACATTCTGGAAAAGACAAAACTGTGGAGAGAGCAAAATATCAGTGGATGCCAAGGGTTAGAGAGGGGGGAGGGATGAATAGGTGGAGCACAGAGGATTTTTAGGGAAACTGTTCTGTGTGTTACTAAAATTTTTGATATTGTCATTACATGTGTCAAAACGTATAGATTGTATAATGTGAAGGCTGAAGCCTAAAGCAAATTATGGATTTTAGGTAATAACGATGTATCAATGTAGGTTCATTTGGTTGTAACGAGTGTGCCACTTTGGAGGGAGAGACTGTCCCTGTGTGGGGACAGGAGTGTATGGGAACTGGTGTACTTTCTGCTCAATTTTGTTGTGAACCTAAAACTGCTCTAAACAATAAGGTTTACTAATTAAAAAATACATTGTGTGGGGCCAGCCTGTTGGTGTGGTGGTTAGGTTCGCACGCTCTGCTTCTGCAGCCCAGAGTTTGGGGGGCGGTTTGGATCCCAAGTGCCGACCTACACACTGCTTATCAAGCCCTGCTGTGGCGGTGTTCCACATACAAAAAATAAAGGAAGATTGGCAACAGATGTTAGCTCAGGGTTGATCTTTCTCACCAAAAAAAAAAAAAAAAGAAAAAAAAATACATTGTGGCACAATGCATAAAGCAAATCAACTTGTAACTATGATGAAGATAAATCTGAGAAATATTTTCTAGAGAAATCAGAAGAAATTTTTATGAAAAGACTTTTGTGCATGTTTAATAGGATTTAAACTAAGATCCCTGAAGATACACAGCAAATATCACAAGAGAGAAGAGATAGGTTAATGGGATTTTATGAAAAGGAAGATAATTATAATACTGAGTTCAAGAATATGTAAATGCAATGCAAGAATTACAGATTCTGGAAGCGCTGTGCAAAGAAGGATACAGAGCAGAAAAAATAATGAGAGAGAGAAAAGTTAAGTAGAACTGTTAGAGCAGAGAGGAATTGGACAAATTACTATCTTAGCAATTACTAGTAAAGAAACAAAAATATAGCAGAATTTAAATTTATCTTTTGAAATACCATTACTAAATGTGTCACATTGAAAGGGAATGTGTGGAAATGACTTATTTTATTACCAGAAAATTTATATTTTATTGTTCATGAAAGAGAAAAATAAATCCTTCCCTTTTAATATGGGCTTATAGCATAAAGAATACATGAAATTTTTTTGAAAAAAGTTTAAAATATTGTTAATGAGTTCAATATAATATCTCCTCTCCCTATTTGGCTGTATATACTGTTCTCACATATTTACAGCATCTCTTTATGTTCTTCACTGTCATGCATTAACAAGAAAGCAAGTGACGCTGGGAAGCCCAAAAATTTAATATGTATTCCCATGTTTATGGGGAGGGAATGAAATCCAGCAGACTCTCTGTACCATAATGTCTTTTTTTAAGACTTTATTTTTTTAGAGCAGTTTTAGGTTCACCTGAAATAGAGGAGAAGGCGAAGAGATTCCCCATATACCCCCTGCTCCTGCACAGCATAACCTCCCCCATTATCAACACCCCACAGCAGATTGGTACATTTGTTACAAATGATGAGCCTACATTTGCACATCATAAGCACCCAAAGTCGATGGTTACATTACAGTTCACTGTTGCTGTTGTACATTCTATGGGTTTGGACAAATTTATAATGATATGTATCCACTATAATGGTATTGTACAGAACGTTGTCACCACTCTAAAAATCTTGTGAGCTCCTCCTAGTCATCCCTGCTCCCCATATAATGTCTTTTATATGGGGACATCTGTCTCTTCCCAGGCCCTGGTCTTTTCGAAGCAGAATGACTGAATTGCATCCACGTAGTACCTCTGACTGAGTCACTGCTGCCTCGTATCCAGGGAGAGATCCAAGGAAAACCACAGACACAACATTGATTATCTTTAGTGTCAGGAACACTCTGATGCTTTACCTTTCAGCATCTTGTACATAGCCGTAAATTTTTTTTTCTCCTGGAGTCATGGAATATCAGGGAAAAACATTCTGTCCATTCTAATAGAAATTAGCTCTAACTAGTTAGTTATATAACATTCTGTTTGATTTGGTTTAATGTACTATTTTTCTATGGATTATTTAGAATTTTTTAGGTAAAGAAAAATGTTCACATGTATATATGCTTGTGTTGGTCTGATGTGGGTGTGCGCAGGTTTATGGTATGAAGAGTGTGAGGTTTTTGAGAGGGGCTCACAGGAAAGACCCTTTTCATCAGAGTATGCTATGAAACAAAACCATAAAGCCTATTAACATTTGTTATTTCCCCAAGAGGCCACAACCTTTTAGTATCTGAAAATATGACTAAGTTGTATATAAAGTCCACACCCATAACCTATTAAACAAGATTTATTATCTGTTTGCTAGTTTTTATTTTTATGTTTCTATTTATATTTTTATGTATCTATTTTCTAGCTTGTAGCACAATGTCTGAGATCTGCAAAAATATCGGCCAAATAAATGTATAATGAACTTAATCAATTATTTTGCTCAATGTATGATTAAAAGCAAAATATTATACAAATGTTTGCATTATAAATGTATCATTAAAGAAATGTTACCCATTACTGTATCATCTTATTGAAAATTTAAAAGCTCACCATTACTAGAGTGTATTAAAGGAATACCCTAACCTGCTAGCAAACATTCATATTACATAAACACTGTATTTAAGTCCCAGAGTGTCAGTGACCATCAGACTCAAAGAGCTTTGAAGTCTTGGATGGGGTATAAAGGAAAGACTGGAGATCAAAACTACCTGTGGGTGACATAGTTCCACGTGACTTCCTGCCTCAATCTCACCCTCGTTATCCCCCATCATTTTCCTCAACACTATGTCCATGTTTAGGCATCTATTGAGAGAGCTGATTTAGACACTTCTAGGCTCTTCTAGCATTCTCTTCAATACCTAAGAGAGACCTATGGATATGGTTACGTATATCCTAGATATTTCAAAACATTCTCAATCTCAAATAGTTCTTTTCCAAGTACCCTAAATCATCAACTTTCCCAGAATATTTTGATTTTATTAAATATCTCTTGGGGCCAGCCCAGTGGTGCAGTGGTTAAGTGTGCGGGCTCCACTTCGGCGGTCCAGGGTTTGCAGATTCGGATCCCAGGCACGCACCAATTCACCACTTGTTAAGCCGTGCTGTGGTGGTGTCCCACATAAAGTAGAGGAAGATGGGCACAGATGTTAGCCCAGGGGCCAATATTCCTCAAGAAAAAAGAGGAGGATTGGCATTGGATGTTAGCTCAAGGCTAGTCCTCACAAAAAAAAAAAAAATGTATATATCTCTCTCTTAAACTTCCTGCTTCTTCTAAAAGTGCAGAAAATAGTCATCTTTTACTTCACGTTTTGATACTTGTGTATGAGCTATAATACAAATTGGGTCCACCACAAGGAAAATTGAACTAGCAGCTGTTTTCTCCAACCTTCTTTTTTCAAGGCCCTGGGAATATATCCTAGGAGGATGAGAGGTTTTACTTAACTTCATGCTTGCACATTTTAATCCAGCTCATGTATTAGGGCCACAGTGACTAAAATACATTCTCACATGCAGGTATTCAGTGGTCATGATGGGATGCGATGGGCCAGGGTGTGTTACAGTAGCCAGGTTTCTATGATTGGAATCAGAAAAACCTATTAATGAGGGTATAGCTGTGTGACTTTTATTAATCTGCATGAAGCACCTCGCTCAATTCTTGGCATGAAGTAAGTATTCTATTGTTGATAGAAATAGATTGTAGTTGCTCATCTTGTGGCTAGAGATGCATTCAGGAGCTCAGAGAATTTATGTTCCTTCCCAGAGGGGTTAAATAGTGTGGCTGGTAAGAGATTGTATCCAGGCTCTCTGACTTTGAAGTTCAAGTTTTTAATCACTGTGTTGGATTTCTTCTCCAGTATCAGCAATAGTATTTCTACTCCTAAAAGTAAACTAGTAAAAGGTATTCAAGTGTTTGGTTCTCTCAGTGCTTGAGG